AACATAGGGAAGGTACTGCAATGAAGAGGGATTGGGCAAAGTTTCCTGTTGAAATTGGGATTTTTATTTGGGACTTCAAGGAAGCCAGGGTGGTCAATATTCAGAGCAGAGTAGGAAGAGTGATCCAGGCATGGGGGACAGCCAGAAAAAAAAAATTCCTAGAGTTGGGAAATGCAGTGTCTTGTTCATGGGATAAACAGGAGGCCAGAGTTACTGGGTGGAAGAGTACATGTTACAGAGTAAGAAGTAAGTAATAAGAAAACTGGAAAGATAGGAGGGACTTAAGTTATAAGGAACTATATAGATCTATATCTATCTGTCTGTCTATCTATCTATCTATCTATCTATCTATCTATGTATCTGTGTATCTATCTATCTATCTGTCTATCTACCTATCTATGTACTGATACAAAAGATACTTCCTAAATTTAAGGACCTCACAGTCTAAAGGGGAAGAAAACAAGCAAACACATATGTACAAAAAAGCTATATAGAGGATAAATAGAAATAATTAAGAGAGAGAGAAGGCAGTAGAATTTGGAAGAATTGGAAAATTGTTCCTGTCAAAGATGGAATATTATTTGAAACCCTTGAAGGAAGCCAGAGCAGCTGAGGGGCATATGTGAGGAGGGAAAGTATGGCAGGCCTGGGGGACAGTCAGAGAAAATGCCTGGAGCCATTAGCACTATGTGATGGAAACTGCAATAACAATGTCACTTTAGACTTCATTAAGGGAGGGAGACTAAGCAGAAGAATTGTAGTGATAATGACTTCCAATTTTTGCCTGGTGAAACCACATTTTGAGTATTTTCTTTAGCCTTGGCCTGTACATTTTAGTTAGGATACTAACCAACTGGTCCGAGTCTATGGTAGACCTGCATTTCATAGCATGCCAACCCCAATTGAAGAGACTGTAAATATTTTGCCTGAAGATGTGAAGACTTAGGGGGTACTTCTTTATTGATCCCATTGTCTTCAAGTTTTATAATCTCTCTTCTGAATGACATTTCCTAGATTTTTTTTTTGCATGACCCTTAAAGCCTCAGAGCAATAATTGGAAGTTCCAGAGAAAAATATACCTGCTGAATGTAAAAGGAAAAACAAACAAACCAACCAACCTAGAAATTAGAATTGTCCCAATGAGTAAGATGCTGTCTTTGATGGCAGTGGGATTCCTCTTTTGAAATTTTCAAACATAGTCTTGGTGAACACTTATCAACAATTTTATAAAAAAGATAATATTAGACGTTTTAAGATTAGAATGAGATGGTCTCTGAGCACCATTCCTTCTTTGAGATTGTATGATTCTGTCTCCTGGACCATCAGTATTTTATTAGAACAAAGACATAGTTCTGGCTGAAGTTGGAAAGGATTGGAAAATATCATTGACTCTTACATTTACCTACATATAAATACACTAAGGTATCTACAATAAAGTATCTGATGATAATTATATTAGGAGCCTCTTTAGTTGGGGAGAAAATATAGACATGGGAAAGACTTTTCTGAGGGCTCACTGAAGGGAAAAAAAATATGATTAGGCTAGCATGGATTTAGTCACAGATCCTTGAGGAGGTGGATTTTGAGCCAGGTCTTGGAGCTTTCCATGGATATGTAAAGGTCCATTTCCTCATTTTATAAGAGTTAGTCATTTTATCTGAATTTAATCATCACATTAGTATTTTTTTTAAAGGAGATCAACATGATCCCTCAAGTCCAGGAAACAGAACAGTAATTCAGTATCCTACCCTACCCTATGGGTCCTCACCTTTTGTCTTCAAATTGCCAAATAAACTCCCCCCTTAAACCTCCCTAAGGAAAATACACACACATACACACACACACACTTACACACATATATTATATATATGTATGTATATATATATGTACATATATATAATATATATACTGAAATGATTGAAAGAATGGAAACATGTTATAAAATTCATTGAAGGTTCCCTGTGCAACTTGGAAATGAAGAGAGAGGGTTTACAACTGGCAGCCCCAGTGGCACTTTCCCTGCCTTAAAAGTACAAATGATGAAACACTCAGGCAGCTCATAAAAACAGTCATTTCATGCTCCAAATAGAGTCTAAATGGAAAACAGAATTGGTTACATTCGAAAACAAATATTATCGTCATTGATCAATGGAAGTTTTAAGTAGATCAGCAAAACATGAGATATTTAACATTAAAGGCAAAGATCAATCATTCAAAATATAAACACATATATGGTAAAAATAGAAAAATACAGAATTTTTGTACTGGAATGCACCTTAAAGATTGGTTAGATCTCTACTTGAAGCATACATTTCCTTAGCAGCCTCTTTAACAATGAAGCATCCAGTTTTCACCAAACTCTAGTCCGGGTACTCACTTCTTGATGAGACAATATAGGCAATTTTAATTGTTAAGAAGTGGTTTTTTTTTTGTTTGTTTTATTTTGTTTTTTGTTTTTTGGTTTTGTTTTCATCCAGTAATGGGCCAGAAACATCAGTCCTTCAATTTTATACATTGGTCGAAGGACAGAATTTTCCCTTCTCCTTAGGGACCAACTAAAAGAAGTCAAAACTGTGTTCCATGGAACAACCCTCCATATAGTTGAGGATAATAATCCTAATCTCCTAAAACATCTCTTCTCCAGGTTAAATGTTTGCAGTCACTTTTGTCAATGTTAATATGATATGGTTTGAGTTTCTTCACCATTTTGGTCACCCACCTTTAGCTACCCTTTAAGATACCATAGGCTTTCCTAAAATGTGATATCCAGTATGAAACACATGTGTTCTGATCAGATGATACCACCATTTCACCCCCTATATTGCATTCAGTATGACCAAAGTTGGCTTGGTTTGGGATGACATGGGAGACCAATAAAAACACCAAGCATTTGTTACAACATTCTTGTTGTGAGTGGAGACTCAGAATCTGGCAGCTGTTCATGTCCCTTGATGTTGTCCTAAGTTACAATTTGAGTGCAAAATTTGACAGTTTCATTTATCTCTATGAGATGGTTTTAATACTTGGAAAATGATGCTTTTTTATGTCACTTTGTATAATGTTTCATCTACTGGAAAGCAAACCAGAAGCTTTCCAAGTGATTTTTCACATAATGTACCTCTAGTAGTATCACTTTTCCTTCCTAATTTTGCCCTAAAGGAAAAACTCAATAACAGATTAGATTAACAGAGCAAAAATAGGCTTTTTTTTTTTACTGCATTTGGCTTGAGATTGGTAAGAGGGGGAAGATACATATTGTTATTTTTGAATATTGTAATAATTTTAGAGGTTTGGATTTACAAGAGCAGTACTCAAAGAACTGAGAATTTTTTTTTCTTGCCATTTTGTGTGCTATCAGGGTTGAATTGTGCCACAGAGTGGATTGTGGTGCCTTGATTAAAGCATTTTGGCTTTCACAAGTAGGTTTTCTGTAGGTATGAATGACTGAAAGAAGAGCTTGATTTCCCCATCCATTAGAATTCTGAGTCAACAAATTCAGTACTCTTCAATCTGAACAATTAAACATATTCGCTAATAAATGAAGTCTGTATTCATTTTAATTTAGCAGACAATCAAGCATGCTACTTACTATGTACAGAAGCAATGTCCTAGGTGCTAGGGATACAAAGATGAGAAAAAATCAAGTACAATCTTTTGCTTTTCTCGCTGAATAATATCTTTTGTCAATTATTGTAACAAGCAAGAAGTATGTGACTGGAGTACCAAGATTATGCCATAGGAAGCTTTAAACTCAATCTCTGGATTTCCCTACTTTGTGCCTAAAAATCAAATGAACAAATATGAAAATGGGGGACTCTGGTCAGGTCCTAGCAAGTTATCTTTAAATCTAGACAGAGTAGCCACACAGAGAGAGATTGATAGTTGGACAAGCCTGGCCTTTCCTAATCCATGATCAGCAGAAGTATCCAGGACTTTGTAAATATAATAATTGCTATAGACCTCTCTGCTGTTAATTGCTTTCAAAGACTTCAGAGAATTCTTAATTCATTGTTATTGTTGTTTGTTTGTTGTTGTTGTATAGTCATTTCACTTGTATTGGGACTCTTTATGATTCTATTTGGGGTTTTCTTGATAAAGCTACTGAAATGGTTTGCCATTTCCTTCTCTAGCTCATTTTACAGATAAGGAAACTGAGGCAAACAGGGTTAAGCAACTTGCCCAGGGTCACATAATTAGTGAATGTCTGAGGCTGGTTTTGAACTCCTGAAGATGGATCTTCCTGATTTCAAGCCCAGTGCTCTATCCACGTAAAATAAAACATAATAATAATTATTATTAAAGTTTCCTCTTTAATACACACATCTGTCTTTAAAATTTCTCAGACTGCACCTGTTTCTTATATTCATGTTTTCTTATTTCCATGTTTCTTGCACTAAGATTTGTTTCATGGTTTTCTGCCAGTTCATCCTCAAACCATTCTTTTGTGCTTAATCTTTTCATGACCCAAATCATTAAATTTAGCCTATCGACCCAGACGGTAGATTAGATTTGCTAATACTGAACACAAGACTCACTTTGAGGAAGTGAATGATTGAAAGACCTGGTTCTGCTTCAGATCTATTCAAATTATTATGAATTTAAGAGTTATGAATGAGAACTTGTAGTTGTTGAATATCAGAAATTCCTAGAATTCATTCTGAGTATCCCTGCCCCATCATCTACATCCTTATGATGAGACCAAAGACCCCATCTTTGACTAATGATGAAAAATCATATATCTCATTTTTGAGTTACCTTATATGGTATCTTTACAGATGATGAAACTGAATGTCAGAATGTTTTAATAACATAACCAAGGCCATCCAACTAATAAATGACAGAGGTCAGATTTAGTACTAGGCTTCCAATTCCACGTTCAAGGCCCTTTCCAGAGTTTTAGGTATTTATGTCATAAAGTGGGGGAAATGATATGATCTCCTGCTTTACCCCTTCCAGTATCAATCACAAACTCCTTTTCTCCTGTCTTATATCTTTTCCAGGAAGCAACCTGAATGATGGCTTGTGGCATTCAGTTAGCATCAATGCCAGAAGGAACCGCATTACTTTGACACTGGATAATGATGCAGCATCGGCTGCTCATGAAACCACTCGGCTGCAGATTTACTCTGGGAACAGCTACTATTTTGGAGGTATGCTACCCAGTCTTCTAGAAAGAAACCAAAGGGAAAGGCAAGCATTTGGGATTTATTTCACAATTATAACCTTTATTTCCACATTTTTATTTGCCCTGCTTCTCCCCAAAATAATAGCAAATAGTTTTTCACTAGACAAAATAAAGATCACCTGAGACTATAGCAGGTTGGAAAGTAGGTTTAGCAATAGCTGCTCTTATTACCTAATGCTAATACTGACCAACATTTATATAGTGTCTTGAGTTTTGAAAAACACATATATATGTATATATGCATATATATGTGTGTGTATATATATACAAATATATATATATAAAATCTCATTTGATTCTTACAAGTGGGAAGTAGTTTCCATGGTTTTTGCATTTTACAGCTGAAGAAACTGATACTAAAAGAAGTTAAGGGTTTTCCTAGAGTCCCAAAGCTAGTAAATATCTGAGACAGAATTTGAATTCATATCTTCTGCATTCCCAGTGTAATACTCTATCTGCTGTACTGTCTAACTGAGCCAAGCTCAGCAAATATTCAAAAGAAATAACACAGCTAAAAACTTGACCATGACTCGGGAAGTCATAGTATTGATTATGCCATATGTAACACAGTCCTCTTGAAGTCATTAATATTTCTACCAATCTGTTGTGTGAGGTGATAACTGATAATTGACATCCTAGAGATGGCCTTCAAATGTGACATATAATGTGAACAGTTCATAGAGCAAGTGAAATTCTTCTAAACCCTACAACCACATCCTTCATTTAGGCAGCATTTCTAATAATTTCTCCTTTTCACACACATATACATAGGATTTTCACAAGAATTTATAGAATTTAGAAATTAATATTATTCAAGTTTATTTTTTTTGTCATAAATATAACCTGTAAGTGAGTGTCACACACCAATTAAGTGACAGGTCTGGACCAAACGAAATAAAAATCCATAGCTTGCTTGTAAATGATACTTAAAGACAAGATTCATTTTATTCCATGGCTAATATAGTATCCAATTTTATTTGTCATTGTACACAGTTTACCTATTGATCTACTGAAGACATTTTTTGTTACCCTGCCCAAAGTAAAACATGACTGTATGTTGTTGAATCAAAAATTCAAAGATTGGTGGAGAGAGTAATCAAAACATTTTAAGTATCATTTAGATATTGTTCTTCTAATGCCTGAAGCCTATTTTATTTAAGTTTGAATGTTCACCAGGACATAATGAAGGTGTGATCTTGTATCTAGACAAAACAGGCAAACTGATGATCTCTTATTGCAATTTAAAGCAAGGCTGAAGAAGGTTCCCCTGAACCACTCTCCACCCCTTACCCTAACCAGACTTCTTTTAACTACTCACTGAGGCTGAAAATTCTTCACATAGGGAAAAATGTTTCATTCTATACTTAGCAATAAACCTTAATATTCTTATCCCAGAATAGTTTATAATCCACAGTAAGGTTTACTCAATGTGGATACTATCCTGACAGGAGGGGAGGCAGAAAAGACTAGAAGTCATATTTGATACCCATAAAAGGTACAAAGACAATGAAGAGAGAATCTGGAATCCCTAAAAACAGTTCCACAATTTTACCCTACATATATACGTAGATGGAGCAAGGTGTCTTAGAACATATTTCATGGGGGCCCTGGATAGTTTCGAATTAATTTACGTTGTAAAATAACTAATAGGCATCTGCAAAACCTTGCAGGCAAAACACTTTGCCTCCCCCTAGTTTGAATAGGTGCTATTTTTGGTAGATCTTAATAGTGAATGGACCTGCATCGACTCAGATTCATTTCAGAATTGCAGAGTTTGGACAATTATTCCTCATGTAGTCTGCAACTCTAAGAAAGGTGAAAAATGAGCTGAGGTACTAATAGTCAACTTATATAAATTCTCTCTGCAGCTGCAATTAGAAACTGTAGCATTCTCCTCCATTTTATAGTATGGCTATGAGCTATTAACCAGCTGTTGGGTTTCGGGAAAGCAGAGCCTATCTATTAGGGGTGTTTGAAATAATTCCCCATTATTTATGGCTTGTTGCTGCCATATTCAAGACTGTTCTGCCATATGCTCTGAACCTATTAAAATGATGGAGACTAAGGTCTGTGACTAACAAATGCACACAAATAATTATGCTATTGTTTACCTGCACTAAGCAAGAAAATAGTAATATGTCAGTAGCATCCTTGCCATGTGAATCAAATACAAGTATAGGTGATTGGGTGGCAGAGAAAGTTGATAGAGAGGGAGATGAGAGTGAGTAAAACAACTTTAAAAGGTAGATTCAACCACCCTCATGGGCTCTAATAACACTATAAAGGCATTCATTTATAGTCCTAGTTCTTTTGAAAGTTGTCATACATTTTAATGTCACTTCGTAATTTCGGTTACATCTCAATGCATACCTTTCTTAAAAACCAAGACTGCTAATGTTTACAATTACTCCTTACTTACAGTACAGTTTCCATGGCAAGTGTAATTCAGAATTAAAGCTAGCATTTAGACTTTTTTTCATGACAAAATGATTATTTCTATGTATGTTTAATGTATAACTGTCTTTGGATCAAGTACACCATGCATTTGAATTATAAAGTTTACCAAACAAATATAAAATGAAAGAGAGAAATTTGTTGCAGTGCTGTGAGATTCTTTAATAACTTTTTTTTCCTGCACCATGATTGTACCCCACTTTGTACTGTTTCTCTCCCCTTCCTTGAAAATGCTAGGATTTACAACAAAAGCATGTGTGCCGCTGTGAATGAAAAGTACCACAGATTATTAGACCTCAAGGTCTTCCATCAATAGGTCACCAAAGAAATGACTGATCATTTCAGTATTCTTCTTCATCTTTTTCTCTCTCCCACAGGGTGCCCAGACAATTTCACCGATTCCCAATGTTTAAATCCCATTAAGGCTTTCCAAGGCTGCATGAGGCTCATCTTTATTGATAACCAGCCCAAGGACCTCATTTCAGTTCAGCAAGGTTCCCTGGGGAATTTTAGTGATTTACACATTGATCTGTGTAGCATCAAAGACAGGTAATTATTGTCTCTTCTCCTCTTCCCCTTTCCCATTCTCACTGTTCAAAGTCTGAGTTTCTTTAAACACAATTCTAATCTGCCAGCATTATCCACAATAGACATAATCGAGTCACCAAATAGAAAATATTTCTGAAAGGATTCCAGGCCTGAAGAAAAATGGTTTAAATTAGTTGAGTCTCCCTTCATGTTGACTTCAAATAAATATTATATGCAAATTAAATCAAAATATGAACTTGAAAAAGGATTAAAATGTTATGCATAAACAACATTTGATTATGTTGAAGTTAAAGTGTAGAAGAGAAGAAGGGAGGGAGAAATTACTTATATCAAAACATTTCATTCCTTCTTGAAGGGTTTATTTTTGTTAATGGAGAATGGCCAATGTCATGTGTTTGAAATAGGCCTGACAGCAGTTTTGCTTTGGTAAATCATAGGTAAAAAGAATACCTCCACATGCATCATAACATCTAGTTGACATCTGTTGAATCACATAGTTACTTTAGGCTAGGGTCCTGGTGAAAGAGCATTAATTGTGTCACCCAGGATTTAGAAAGATCAAAAATTAAGAGACACTAAGAAGAAAGAAGTATGATTTCTTTCATCTCAGTTGACTTTTTATTTTTTTTTGGTTTTTGATGAAGCAATAAGGGTTAAGTGACTTGCCCAGGGTCACACAGCTAGTAAGTGTTATGTGTCTGAGGTCATATTTGAACTTAGGTCCTCCTGACTTCAGGGTCAGTGCTCTATCCACTGTGCCACCTAGCTGCTCCCAACTCTTCTTTCTCAATCAAAGTCTGCCTCCTCTTGGAGGAGAAAAAAAAATCTAAATTCAAAGAAGGGGAAGTATAGGGGCAAATAAATTCTTTATCCCCACAGAAGTTCCCCAGGTTGCCCTGTTTCTCAAATGGGAATCCCCAGCTCCTTCTCTCCCTGTGCTCTAAGTCCAGGAATAATGCTACCAAAAATCAGAAATGCAAATTGTTTAACCAGAGGAATTTGAAGTCTCACTGATATGATTTGGCGGAAATTGACTTGCATGTTTCCTTTCAAATGCCATTTGATATATGACCCCAAGCAAATTATTCCTCCTTCTTCCTTCTCCTAACTCACTCCTTTCCTCTTCTGACCTTCTAGGGAAGAAGATAATAAATGTGTGTGTGCATGTGTGTGTTAGTTACTTTAGAATTCATTAATTTATAAAGCTTGGGATAAGAAAAAAAAGTGTTGAAATGAATCCTTACTATCCTGACAATTCTTGTTAATAGTAAAAATATAAAGGCACATTTCATTAACTACTCCCATTTTTTTAAGTAAAGGTACTGTGATATTTATCAGTTGGGGTCCTTTCTGATATTTTCATAACTCCATGGGACATGCACATTACTTTTGATTATATAAAAATCACTACCAAGCACACTCTACTTTTGTATAATTGTGTTGTGCATCATTGTATTATATTTAATTGTATCTGTTTAATTGTATAAAAGGGATTGTATTTAACTATGTGAGAAAAGTAACTGTGCATTTTACAGAAAAAGGTGGATATGTATGGAAGGACTTTGTTTAGTTAATTCTTTGTTTATATGAATATCATATGAGGGGTTTTTTGTTTCTTTTTTGGTCAATTTGATTCAGTCTGGGTTTTGGGGGCAAGACTCAATTAAATAGTATCTACTATAATAAGTCAACATTATAATCTACTATAATAAGCCAACAAACAATTGATTTATTTGTGGCATTATCAGTGATGGCTGTGATCTGTTTTATCAACTTAATTCAACAAATACTTATTGAATACTTATTATAACACCAAAACAAACAAACAAAGGAAAAAAACAACAGTGGTTCAATGGAAAGATTGTTTACTCATTTTTTGTTCCTTGGCAATTCACTTAACATGCATAGACCATAATTTCCCTATTTGTCTAATAAGGGGGGGTTAAACTATGTGACATTAGAAATCCCTTTTCAGTCTAAATCTATGATCCTATAAACCATTGATTTTGCTAGATACCATGGGGGAATAGGAGAAACATTTGATATCTTCCCTTCCTCCATCAACAGTTTTAAACAAAAAACTTTCAATCTAGTTAGACAGGACAATCTTGTTTTGAATTCAAAGCTGAACCTGCTCTTATACAAATATTTATACACACACACACACACACACACACACACATATATATACATATACACATATACATATGAAGACATATATACTGTGTGTATTCAGAACTGCCGAGTCAGTTCCATTCAACAAACACTAATTGCCATCTCTGTTCCAGGCATTCTATTTAGGGGATGGGAAGATAAAGACAAAAATGAAGAGTCCTTGCCCTCAAAGAACTTATATTCCAATAGGGGGAAGGAACAAGACATGATGTAAACAAAATATGTATAAGGAAAATACAGAACTGTTTTGAGGGAACATGAAAAAGTGAGGGAATCAAGAAAGAACTCCTTGTAAGAAATGGTACTTAATTTGAACCTTGAAGGGAGGTATGAATTGCAAGAGGCAAACATAAGCAAAGCATTCTTCCTAAGTGTGAGGATCAACTGGTACAAAGGTAGCACATAGAGGTGGCAGATATTAATAGGGAACAGTAAATAGGCCACCTTTGTTGGAACATAAAGTGTGTGAGGAAAAATATGATGTAACCCTGAAAAATCAGTTAAAATGTGAAGGGCTTTACAAGACAAGAAACACTTACATTGTATCCTAGAGGTCACAGGGAAAAACAAGAGCTTATTTAAGCAAGTTAGTAACATGAGCAGAGCTATTCTTTAGCATAATGAATTTGATAGTTATTCTATAACATTATCAACATTTTTTCTATTTTCATTAATTCCATAAATAAATTTTCAGTCCTTACTAGGTGCTTGGTTTGGGACTAGATAATGTGGAGAATTGATAAAATGGAAGTCCTGGCCTTTGTCTTTCCAGTCACAGATTTTTAACAGAAAATAATTAAGAATTTGGTCAAATTGATTAATCTTGTACTGAATTCATACACGAATTTGCTTGTATCCAAATATTATGTGCATGTAATTATATCTTTACATTCAGAATTTATTCTAGAATATGAGAGAGGACTTTGCCTTAGGCCCTGAGCTTTGAGGAAGGAAGTCACTGTACTCTGAAAGGCATATGCTTTGGATGGAAACAGACAAACAGAATTGCTAGTTGTTGACTTAATCTGAGGAGATGGGAGAGGAAATAAGATAGCCCTTGTTTACTAAAATGAAATAATTAGTGTGGGCATTACTATTCCTCTGTGACCTACAATTTTAAACTTCGTCAGTCTAGTTCCTTATCATCTCTGCCATTAGTGTTAATTTTAACTGTAATTCACCTGAATAATAATAATGTAAAGAGGGACCTCTACAAAAGTTAATTTTGCTCAATCATGTATTCTCTTAGAAATGGATTTGCATATAATTTGCCTTAACATAATATTATTTTTCCTCTTCCAGCTACCATATCATACGTATAGCATATTTATTAAGCAAGACCAGTTTCTCATCTGTTGCTTCTCTTAAGAAATAAAGCTGGTCTTCTTATCATACTCCATTGTTTAGTATCCACTCACTTTTTCTCCGTAGCCTTATCATTAAAGCAAGTTTGAATCCGTAAAATTTCCTCCCATAGATCCCATGGAAATGTCACTCTCCAAGATAGATACATGAGTTCTCACTAAAGGCATTGATTATTAATAGCTTCAAGTTTGTAGTCATTAATGACTGACAAATTTCTCCATTGTTCCCCTCACATGCTGACCATCCTTTCAACTCCCAAATACATAACCTTCTAATTCTTCCAATTTTGTACATATGTTTTATTCCTTAGAGAGGAGCAGGTAGGCAGGGCACTATTCAGCAGCTGTTGTGGAATGTGCATACCTGGAATGTGATCCAATGGACACATCTTAACTTTTATCTCCATCAGATAGAGCCTCCTCATTCCTCTCTCAGTCATGCAATACTACCTATTAATTAAATCCAATACATATCCCAGATTCTTTATGAAAATATCCCTCGTGTCCCTAAATGGCAGTGTTCTCGCTATCCTTTGATTCCCTATGTCACTTATTATCTGTACTATGCTATGCTAGATAACATTATTAAATACATAGCTTATACTGCCTTTTATTATTTGTTTCTTCATGTGGGTATGTATTATCTAAACAAATAGACTGCAAACTCAGAAGTGAGTGAGTTTGCCTTATACTCTTTAATATCTCCCACAGAAATTAGCACAGTGCTTTACAGTTAAGTGTTAGGTATCTAATAAATATAAAAAATAATTCATTATTGCTTTTGATGAATCCATACAGTAATGCAAAGTACTCTTTGTGGATAGTAGTACATTATTGAGTGTTATCTACTATGAAAAATCTATCATCAACGTCAAAAAGCGTTCAGCATAGGTCAATACCTAAATATGCATATGGTCTAGAAAATGTCTACTTGATCATTAATTTGTCACATACATTCTACAACCTTATAAAGTAGCAGAATATTTTAAGTCAAAAAGATCTGGAAAATTATTTAATTGAACCTATTAGAACACTAAGGCCCAAAGAGGAGGAATGACTTGTCTGTAGTAATAATTCATTTAGTCTTACTTCCTTATTTTGTAGATGGGCAAACTGTGCTCCCAAGAGGTTAAAAATTTATTCCAGGTTATCTGGTATTTCATAGGTCTGTATTGGAGTCTAGACTTGATTTTTTTGTCTCTGAAATCCAATATTCTCTCTGCTACACAACACATTAGACCATCTAACTACTTAGAAACACAGCCAACTAGAATCCAAGAGTCTTCTCAGGATAGTGCTCTTTCCATTATACATTCTAAAGAGTAATTCCATTAAAAAGTTAACTGGTTCAAATGTATAATTATTTGGGTGTAATACTGAGCAATTTCATTTACTTTGTGGAAACCAAAGAGGTCAGGAAATGGAGTTTCTCCCTAACCAACCCTTTCACTTTTCCTGAAC